CCTTACGTACTCCCTATTAACCCCGAGAAGTTCGCGCGGCGCCCCCTTTAGGCGAACCGGGGTGACGTCACGGCGAGGAGAATTTTTCCCTGACTCGCCTCGGTCGCCCTGTGGAGGCTGTGACGACGCTAGCTGTCGGCGCGCTCGTTTCTATTGAACCTTTTTTTGGCGTGTTTTTCGTAGGAAGTGTAAATTTTTATATGTGCCTTTATTGAGGTATGGCCTGTAGCTAGAGGCGAAACTTCAACCAACATTTGAAGCATGGTTGACAGTTCAGGCAACGCATGAATCCCAGCTGGTATATGAAAATAAAGAAATATGGCCACAATTGCCGGAGCATCACTATAGATTTACATTTCGCACGATACATGCTGCTGATGGTCTGAATGAATTAGCAGGTTATGTATACTAATTTTTTTCTATCTCTGTTTTTAAACAAGATCGCCGAAGCAGAAAAGCTGCATGGTGTTCGAGCAACATACTAAATACGGTCTGGGCCATGGGGAGAGAATCACAAGTACGACAGCCCAATTGCGGGGGCAAAGTAAAAAAACAAGAAACATTTATAATATATATTGCTCGCATTTGACGTTTGTTGGATTCCGATAGTATTTCAAGGGACTACATGGGTGGTATCTGTAAACTTGTTTATATCAACCCTCGAGTAATGTATAACAAACGTAATCGAAGGTGTCTAGCTTGTTATTAGTCCCTTAAGCCCTAAAATTGAGATTTTACTTAAATCGAATTGTCCTGAAGCTAAAATATCCGAAACTTTTTTCACGCAGACTGTCGCCCTTCACAGGATCCACATTTTCTGCTACTAGTGCTGCGTCTACCACTGGACAGACGTTCCAATGCTTGCTTTTAATCCTGTTTTCCTCTGTTGTCAGAGAGTCCAGCTGTAGGGAGCTTGGAGGCTAATTAAGCTTTTGGAGACCTGCAGCAGTGTCTCTTTTAATTGGAAATGACAATTCAGACTAAACTGTGTATTTTCCGAATACCCAAGGCTGGGATAAAAATGTCAAGAAAAAGTATAAACATTCCAAATTACGGCACTATTGCTGTGCATATTTTGGGCAGTTCAATACATATCATACAGGCAAATGGGGGCAATTCGGCCGTCTTTGCTGCTACCATACAAACTAATTTCCAATAATTGTGCATCTTCTAAGAAATATGCCTGCATACGTGTATAAACTATATAACTAATTCACGAAGAAGCTACATTTATGTAAAACGACCCTGTTCCACCAGCACTTTAAAGAAAATCAGACACAGGGCCTTTAAAACATCTGCGAACTAGCGCATGCAGAGTGGCAGCGCAAAGTCGGGGTCGCAAGCTAATTTGCCGACCACCCAAAGGCCCATTATATAAATGCTACTTCAAATGCCTTGAAAGCGGGATGTAATATCGTACTAAATCATGAACATGCAAGGAACAGAATTCCTGCGTCTGAAACACTTACGCCACCGCTTTACCGATCCATCGCAAAATTGCCTTGTGTCATGTGGACGGCCGGGGAGGTTCATCCGCGGAATTGCCTCCGCCGATAGCTTTCGGGATTTGTAACCCAATTTTAAAAGTAAAAGAGACGAGCAGGCTTATAAATGTACGAAAGCACGTCAATATCAGCCTAACTCAACGTCTTGTACACCGGGTAAACGAAGTCCAGCTCCTCGAAGAGCTTGCGGCACGCAACGCCATACCAGGAAACAGGTGCTGGGAAGCGAGCCGATGAGAGATCGCGGAGCGGAGTACTCCCCCTGACGTCACGGTACACCTCACCCAATCAGGGCGTGGCGACCGCAGCGACGCTTGTGTTCGCTCTCGTATGGCTTGTATGGCTTCTTTGCAGACCCTAAGGACCCTACACTCTTTAAAATGACTTTTACAGAGCACGTTTTTGCGTAAAAACGAATGGGGAAAAGCTCTTTTTGTAGAATCCTTTATTGGAGATCAGTACAAAATGACAAGGGCCTGATGTTTGCATACACTTTTAGCTTACAGGGTTTTGCGGCACATTTAATCATATTTTTTTACAGCCATGCCTCACCGGCGACTTCAGGTAGCGCGTCCCGACTTGGGTGCGTCCTAACTTCGGTGGCAATGCGCGGCGTGTCCGCCTGGGAGACGGGGGTTGGCATCCCTGAAACCCCTCTTCTACCGTATGTGTTTCGGCGCCAAAGTGGTCGATTAAAGCCAAAGCAGAACAGTCACATGCTGTCGAATATCGATAGTCCAAAACCAACACACGCAGTCGTGCAGTTCTCCAAGTGGCCGCTGCGGGTGGAATGGTGGCGTTGCGATCGCAATTAGTTTGGTTTTCGAGTACAGATCGGGGGGGTGCCGCTTTTTCAGAGCAAGCTCTTTAGCAGTTTCCCAACTGACTTGTTCTAGAAACGTTGGTCGGTGCGGACCCCATAGCAGACCCCCTGCAGACTGAGTGGCTTCTCTGCGGACCCTGTAGGGACTCCCTGTAGACCTTGCATGGCTTTTCTGCAGACCCCATGAAAACCATGTATAGACCTTGTATGGCTTCCCTGTGGACTCCCTATGGACTCCTTGTAGACTTTGTATGGGTTTTCTGCAGGCACCCTATAGACACCGTAAAGACCCTGTGTAGACACCCTATAGAGTCCCTATAAACTCTATATGGCGCCTTGCCATAGAGAAGGTATAGAATGACCACACATCATCCATAGAATAGGACGTCCTTAGAACGTCCGTTGGCCAATATTCTATAGGGCAGCCATAGGGCGACTTCACGGAGGCAACAGAGGTCGTGGTCTCCCTATAGATGCCTTTTGTTCTCCCTATGGACGCTGGTCTATATAACGTCCTAGAAGTGTCCATACAGATTTTTGCAAGGGCGAAGAAACGTTCTTTCCGGGTTTTCTCTTTCTCCTTTTTCAACTCCTTTCGGTTAAAGACTTCGCCTGTGAAACATCCCGTTGAACGGGCGAGAGGACCGGGCCTTGTGAGGGCTGAATACGTGCGTGTATAGCAGTGCCATTGCGGCCCCGTCCGCACCCTCGAGAAAAACAAAAGTTGGTGTGTTTGTATGTTTATACAGCCTAGAACTTAGTCTGCCTCAACGGGCGACTTGTCTCCCAACTGTAGATAAAAAATTTAGTCAGTGCAGCACAACCGTTAGCCTGGGGCCTTTAACGTGCACCACGTAGTAGTGATACACGACCGCACGCCGGTACGGTGCTCCTCGAGATCGAAACGGGCAGGGGTGGGGAATAAACCCAGGATCCCTGGGTTCTGCAGCGCGAGCTTTCGCTCCACGTGCTCCGAGCTGGTGTGAGCTAGAGTGCCTTCATACACACGCGCGCTTTTACCCTAGTGTGAGCTAGCCCGTTTGGCCTCCAATCCCCCCAGTCCGCACTCTCGCTTACCGGGATGCCTGCGAGACCAGGAATGCACGCGATGATGATCGTCTGTCGGGCATCTGGCCGCCGCCATGTTACTGCTCATGTGAGGATAGCACTTGAAATTAGAAGCCTGCCAAAGCAACCTTGGCGAGCATTCTGCACGTACTTGAACGCATGGCGAACCAGTCGGGACCACATGCTTGTAAACGTGCATACACGCGGACGTTTTGTGGCTATGCAGTCACAGCTATTGGCGCACGTGTGCGTACGCACCTTCAGCGGCGCCCATGGCAGCTGCGCGTGCGCGCTCTACACTTATTTTCAAAATGGCTTAGAAAGTTGTCTTTGAGTTTGTTTTGTATTTTATAGAATGAAAAATGCGCAAAGCCGGAGCGTCCCTGAAGGCTGAGATGCATTCTGGGAAACGGCTGTCCAAGAGTTTCCCTTTCCTTCACTGTACAGCGACGAGCCGCGGACACCACGGATCTCTACCTCGCACTCCGCGATCGCGGCGTACCTCTTCCTAGTCTTCGTGGATTTCTCGAGGTGTGGACGGGGTGCGGTAAGCATGCTTTTCTTTTTGTGGGTTTATCAGGTTTTGAGCTAGTTAAAGACCAAAAAAAAAAAAAAAAACACGTATGACAATTGCCACAGTGAAAGAAGGAGATTATTTACGAATGGCAGATAAACTCAGCGCATTGTCAAAACCCGAAGCTAATTTTCGTGTTGGCCGTCGTCGAAGTGCATCGAAGTCGAAAACGAGCACACGCACGGAGTTGATGCGAAAAGCTGCGTATGCCGATCGGCGGTGATTTAGGCTTCGTTGTGGCGACGTCGTCTACTTTCGCCTTGAAACTTTAACCGTCTAATAAAGTCACGATAAGAAAGGTAGACATACTGCATCACTTGCACATGCTGATTAATCCACAAAAGCTATGGCAAGGTACGCGAATGCTAGGGGGATCGGTGGCCAATTGAGCTAGCCCACACCAGCTCAGAGCGCGTGGAGCGAAAGCTTGCGCGCAGAACCCAGGGATCCTAGTTTCAATCCCCACCCCTGCCCGTTTAGATCTGGATGAGCATCGTACCAATGTGCGGTCGTGTATCACTACTGCGTGGTGCACGGTAAAGACCCCAGGCTAGGGGTTGTACTGCACTGGCTAAATTACTCATCTACAGCCAGTGACTCGTCGCAACTTTGAAATGACTGACCAGCCACCCGCTGTATAAATATCCACACAATACCAAGTATTTATTACGCGTACGCTACGTTGGCGTGTTAGGTACGGGTCTGCGAATGGCCGCGATACAACGGAGGGAACAAATACTCAGCTCTTCGTTGACATTCGTTTTTTAGATTGCCCTTCAGCTGCTAAGGTCGCTCCGGCGTTGCACATTGTAAGTATCTTGATAAAATTTGCACATCGGGCCCATTTCCCGTTATCTTAGGGAATGACATATTCAATGGGCGAGCCTCACGAAGAAACAAAGAATAAAAGTGCGGGACTTGTCAGTGAAAACAAAACTAGGGATAACGAGGTACGGAGCAAATATGAAGCTTTATTTCTTCTGTGAAATTGCCATTTGTTTTTGACATTTGTGCGTTACACCGGATAAGATTTCGTGCGATTGCCATATAAACTCTCTTTGATTCAGTAGTTCACGGCAGCTGCACGCGGGAAAAAATGGAGGTTTATAACCGTACTTTGTTTATTCAATTATTTGGCAAATAAAGACATCTGTTATTCGGAATTGCTGGACATGGACCTGAAAAAGTAAAGAATCATGTCAACGTAATTGTAAAGATATCGCACCTAAAAAAAAGAAGCAGAAATAATCGTTACAACTAGAAATCATTGTCCTATGTTTTACATTGGCAATATCTTTAGTATTAGAAATAAGCAACCATAGACTTCGGAGTAAAATTGTTTGTTTTAATGCTGATATACTTTAAAGCTATAGTAGGCAATCCCGATTGGGCCGCAGTTACACAGCAGTGCCTACTGTAATTGATCCGCTAGCGACAGCTGAACAAGTGAGCTCGCCTACATCAGTTAGCTGAACTGAATTCCGCTGAGTTCAAGGTGGCAGATTCTGCGACGTCGCCAACGAAGGCCAGCGTTAGTGACTTTCTTACTCTTTCGGAATGCAGGGGATGTATCCAGACAGATTCGAAATAGCGGGGATTGTAGAAGGGGTCATGTTCAGGGGTCGAAGTGGCCCTTATCATAGGGTGACTCTAAGTCCTGTTTTGGCCGGGACAGTCCCATTGTAGAGGCTCAAACCTGTCATCTTTTCATTTTGTCTCAATGAAGTTTCGTGAGCCGTTTTGTGGGCATGTGTATAGTTGCAAATTGAGTACTAGGTGAGTGGAAGAAAACCGACGAAAGTTTACTTGTTACAGACAGTTTTTTTTTTTTGTAAACATGTAAGCATACTATGAAAATGGTAGCTTCCACAACGGTACAGTTTTGAGCTCTTTTTGCTGTTAATTTTGTTGATATGTTTAGTTTTCACAGACGTATTTACGTGAGAGGGGTAGGAACAATGGTACGGGAAGAAATAAATGGTTAAAAAAAAATAATACTTTAAACACTGCAACGTTAACCACACTTGTTCTTTTTTTGCCGCGCGAGCGATGTTGCAGTTTGGAAATCACATGCGAAATCGCACTATGTGAATGAGACATATCCTAGAACGAAACTGATTGAGGCAGATGTGAAAAAAAAAAAAAAATGACCGAAACACGCAATAAATTGGAATAAAAAAATTTCCACATTCGGTTTATTGGGACTGGTATTTATTATTTATGCGAGAAATCACCTTACCCTGAAAGCAATGGCTTAGACCTCCATTGCCCGTCAGCTTTCGTTCACAAGAAATAGAAGCAGAGCTTTTCTTTTCGCACTGTCCTCCCCTCCCCCCCCCCCCCCCCCCTCCTTCTCCCTGCTTTGTTTTCTACACTGAGGATTATGGTCACCCTACTACTTCGTACCGATCCTGACAGGTCGCGGAACCCAGCGCGACCACGGCAACCTAATTAGATTAGCTCACTTATGCCCGACTCTCACTAGAACGGCAAACAGAAACAAACAACAGCGACAAGCCACAAACCAGAGAAGTTCGGGATTTAACAGGCTTAGAGAATAAAGGAGGCTATGCTCAAACACGAGCATCCTGCGCGCGAGGGCATTTTTGGCAGGCTTGCAATCACTCGTGCTTACTTCACGAGCACCGAACGACTGAACGCCTCGCGAAGGCACTAGCGGGGAATAATGAAATGCGAAGAGAGGAGGGCGTGGCTCGTGCAAGCCGAGTCTGTCAACAGTTCCGCTCCCCCTCTGCCCCCACGGCACGCCTCGCGTCTTTCAACGCGCCCACTACGCATTCTTTAATGAAACTTTTAAGTCACGGCTAGCGTCTAATTAGGTCGAGCGGCCATTTTCCAACTACATTATGTACCAGGAAAAAAAAGTGAAGTAAAACATTTAAGTTCATTAGCTAACTAATTAACCAATTTATCCTTTTTTTCTAGTTTTACCCATGATCTCTAGTTTAGACAAAGCGACATATTAACTCTTTGGCATCGTCCCACAAAACATTCTGGACCATCTAGAGAAAACACCGTGTATAGTGATCCTATTCAGAGTTTCACATGGAACTTTATTTCTGTTCTGTTAAAAAACATAATAATTGCATTTTACAGTTAACTTCCAACAAAAATTGTTTAGAAAAGTCCTTCCCATGTGCGGCCCTGGGAACATTTTGGCAGCCTCAGAGTGGCAGCCATGACTTCACCAAGAGTGTCGAACAAAATATTCGCAGCTCTTTGATGCTTCTAACAAGATACATAGCCATGAAACATCTACGTTTCTTAGCTAAGAGGCTTCTCCGCCTCTTTGAGGATCTTTTTCAAGTTCTTCCTAATATAACTCTGACTAGTTCTATGTTTAGCTTGAAGCTCTATGCCCGGTAGCTTTCATGGAAATTCTTTCAGAACTTTAATTTTTGCCGTAGGTAAACTGTGGCGGCTATAAAACTCATCAAAAGAATAAAACTGACATGCAGTGGGTATTGTTGACACCGTTATGCATTATATGATAATATTTTCAAACTACAAAAAAAAAAAGAAAAGAAATGCAAGCTTTTTGTACCTCCGTAAAGCTGACTGAAACATCGGTGTTTTCCTGTCCAAAACAGAACCTAAAATCGCTCTAGCAATGACCCTATCTGCTGCGCACCACAACTCCCCAATCCTAGTCTACAATACATATATATAAAGAGACTCAGCGATCACCTGTGAGGCAGGGGCAGTGAGCAGTATAGGTTCCACCCTTGACTTGGTCCTCTGAGCACTGCTGTCCGGGTCTCCCTTTAGGTTGACAGGTGGCCCAAGCACCATCATAATTGTGTGTTTGTAAACAGCACAAGCCGCTCTGGCACTTTCTGTAGTTGCCACACGCTTCACCCACTCCTCCAGGAGAGGAAGTAGGATGTGGAAAAGGTAAGACCGGTTTCTGGTCCTGAAAAACGTAACACGTAAGACCGATACGTATGGGGTTTAGAATATCCTAGGGCAGAACTCTGCATAAAGGTATATCAAAATGGAATGTGTTATGCATACATACCTGACTCCTACCTACACTTATTGTAACACATTCCAGTTACAGAAGAGGGTCACACAAGTGCGACATCAGCGTTCTGCTGGGATTCGCCTCTTCCTGGCCGAACGGGAGCCCCAGTCGAACGCTTACATAACACTCGCGTCCAATGTGTGCCCGAGCTGGCCTCCGGCACGTGACGAGAGAAAAAGAAAAAAAAAAAAGTAAACGTGAAAACAAATTGCAAACGAGCACCCAGGGTGCGCTGTGATCGACGGCTGTTTCTGCTGCGTTGTGGAACGGCATGTTGACAGAGATATGCCCTCAGACAGTGTGCTGCAAAGTGATTGATACGGGTTCTTTCTAGTGCTGGGCGTCGATTAAAGTCGTTCAGCCTTTCCACTCTCGTGAATAAGGAAGACCAGCGGAGCTGTACTCGATACACTTCGTCGTCGTCTGTTTTTCGCGCTGTTTGCTACGATGAATTCCCACCAATGCGCCCAACTATCCACTCTTCTATTATAGCTGGAAAGGTTGGCGCCATCAAAGAGCGACGGCGGAAACCATACTGGTTGCGTGCTTGCAGCCGTCGCTTATAGATGGCGGTAGCTGTCCAGGTAGGCTTGTGTTGACATACCGGACACGATCCTGGGGAACCTAGCCCTTAACAACTCCGCTGTAAAATTTTAACCCGATTAATGGCCAAATTTCATTCGTATAACTAATCAATTAATCGGCCTCGTTTATTTAATGCATAGCCTATTTTTAGAAGTAAAAATGACATATTTTCAACTTCTGCTCAATGTGTAATAAACAGCGAAAAATACAATTTCGATTATGAATCAATTGCGATACGTAGTTTAGAGCACTTCAAAGACACTCACACTTACAGACTATTACTTCAGCTGCATGAGGCAGAGAGGTACGTTTATATTTTCCGCAGGAGTGGCCTTCTTTCATTGTTCACAATTGTCCCTGCAGCCCTCAACGGACGGCATCGAAGGGGCCCGGACAAGTGAAACCTTCTGCACTTGTCTGGAGTTACAAATCTTTCAATTGCAGTTTACTTTAGGTTAAACTTTTCACCTAAAGCGACTGTGTAAGATGTTGCATGTTGGAGCACACAGGGACGAACTGTATTGTTTGACTGAAACGCCCTTTCAGAAGTGGCATGCCCGCGACCGCAACTAGGCTAGAGGTGAAAGTACGTATACCCGAGTAAAAAAAAATGAAAAAAAAAGAACGAAGAATCCAGTGTCCGATTACCACTGAAAATAGAGTGCCATTTGGTCAGGGTTAGTATTGATGTTCCCTGTGTATTGTTAATTATTGAACAACGTTTTAATTGCTGCAAGTGTTCCTAGATTTCCATTTCTTCCTTTATCAATTGCGTTGAATCGTTATGAGATTTGTGCTGTTCGCGTTCGCGATTTAACTTAAATCCGATTTTAAGGACCCTTACCGATAGTTTGTTGAACGAATGGTTTTGGAGGCTTATCTTTACGCGCAATTATTACCGAAGATGTCGTCGCAGAGCCTGTTCCGACCGTTTATGAGCCATTGTACTCCCCGCAGTGTCGAAGATCTCCGGTACGCCTCTTTTGGCATTGAACCCCGCCACCCTACTCATGGGAACGCATTCAAGCCAAGTTATCTCGCCCTATACTGAGCACCTGACTCTGCTGCCATATTGGTGCTTTGTTCTATATATCTTTTTCCTTTTCTGACGTCGCGTCTTTCTCGCCCTATTGGCCTCTTACTGCTCTGCGCAGTCTGATGTCCTCACATCTATGACGTCTCTTGACAATGCCGAGCCTCTTTGCAAAACTGGCGCAATATATTCAGTAAACTTCCCAGTAACTCCGAAGGTATCTTTGACTTATATATATATAATACATGTGGTGATCGAGAGACAACACAGATATGAAAAGAAGCGGAGTTTCAGACTGTCTATTGACTCTAAAAATTGCTTACGTCGAAGTTCGGGCCGACCACTTGAATAATCAATGGTTCAATAGTCTTCTTTTACGTCGCAAAACATCTCGCTTACACCTTTTCTACAATTTTTTTTTTAATCCTAACGTTTTAACAGAAAGTTATACCTTAACTCCTCATGCATTTCTGCGCGAGTTGATTATAATTTTACAGTCGGCATACCTCATTATCAAACTTCATACCAAGAACGTCCTCTGATTGGACCCGCCCTGGAATACGTCTGGTAGAAAAACACGTTAAAATACATTTTGAAAAAAGGGCTCCTGGCCTGTTCCATTTGAAGTGTCCGTGCGTATGGCGAGTGATTTGCACGCTTTCCGAAGCAACGAACATGCCCGTGCCTGGGTTGAGGAGATCGCACGTTGTAGATATTAGAATTATGTATAGACCGATTTCACTAAATGTTCTCTTGCATCTACGCAGCGCAGCAAACCATGACAATAATTGTAAAAGCCTGTAGGTAATGATAAATTGCGTTCCTTGTTGCAGATTGCCGTAAAAACACATTTGTTTCTAGGATTCACTTCGTAGAATTTGTAGGTTTCTCGACGGGGACGACGGTTCCTTCACGCCTCCATCGCCTCAAGCCCAGTTCGCCACGCAGTTCATCGCACAGCCACCTTACCACGTATTTCGAGAGGCGATAGAGTTGTTGAAAATCAACGTCGTCTATGTCAAACCCAGTGGCGTGGCTTAAGTACCTACACCAACGGCGAAACACGCACACAAACGCTGTCATTTTGGACGCGCCTCCCTCATCTCGCGCCCAACTCGCCCAAACTCGCCTAGGTCGGAGCCGGCAAGCTTTTCCTATCCGCGGCGGCTTTTGCCACGTCAGAATGACGTCACAGCATCTCGCCGCAAGTTCCGAATATGCCACTCTCCGACCGCCCGAGCCGAGCTCAGCCCCCCAGAGCCGTATATTAGGAGAGTTTGGATAACGGGCGGGGCAAAGGCGCCGCCAGCGGCGAAAACTCCCCCCGCGGTTAGAGCGTAAACTAAAGGTACGACACAGCGTTGACCAATCAAGAGACCGCGACGGCACAATATCGCAAACAACATTTAAAGCGCGAAATAAAAGCGTTCAATCTCGACCTCTCTAGTCCATCTCACAAATATGTCTGCAGTGAAGACAAAAGCACAGGCGCGTGAGCCTAGCTCAGCGAAATGCTTTTGTTTGCATAGGAGGCACTTTCCAAAGCCACGCGCTCGTGGCCATGCCTTTGTCTGCACTGCTGATGGTTGTGTTGATGAAGTATCGGTGACAGTTTGCTCTGGGCCGGCTTGGTAGAGCAGCGTCTTAGCTGAGACTGGCTGAAAGAAAACAGTGCAAAGGGTGGGGCGCGCGAGCGTCTTGAGACGGGGAGTCCCGCTCGGCTCGTGCGCTGGTTTTGGCAGTGCTTTCTTTCCCCGTCTCAGCTGAGACGCTGTTTCTAGCAAGTCGGCCCTGGTTTGGAGTGCACGTTCGTTTATTCTACACTTGAATATTGGCGTGACGAAAACCTCACATGCGCAAAGTTTTCAGTCACCGAGAGCTAAACCTTTTCATTCTAGCGACGCTAAAACAGCTCAAATTAGTCGTGTCCAGGGATGGGCAAAATACATGCAAAATATGTATCGAAATACAAATACAAAATACTTCGTCAAAAACGTATTTAATTACAAATCTAATTACATTTCCAAAAAAAAAAAAGCATTTAAGTACAAGATACAAATACAACCAAATGTATTTGGTCTCCTTCAAATACTTTTCCAAATACATTCCTCAAAATTTGCGTCAGCGACTTCAGAGCACCTGCAACCGGTTTCTGGGTATCTCATTTTAATTTTGCATCGCACACTCAGGAGTTAGTGTGCGAGGCTCTAGTAACGTACTAGAAATATAATCGCAAAAAATGTAATCAGCTTGGACGTAGTAGGTGAAAAAAGTACAGAGCTTCAAGCAGCTTTTTTTGTCGATTACATTTTGGTATAGACCAACAAAGAACTGAGACGACCAAGACGCGCAGCACTAGCTAGAGAATTTTTTATTGTTGCAACTCGCACCAGTTACGAAAGTCTGGACGACCCGCGCATTTAGAATGTTCCAGGCAAAAATATGGATGGAAATCAGGCTGGAAAGCATCACAAGTTGTCACAGGCACTTATTTAGCCAGGCTGTCTGTGAACGTCGATTTCGTCACTATTCTTGCCTTAAGCCGTGTTCACATGAATGCGATTTAGGCGCATAGAATCCAGTTGTCGCATTCAATGCGGTCATGTAAACGGTATAATGCGCAATGAAAGCGCATCGCATTCAAGCCGCCAGACAGAGGTGGATCGAGATGGCGAGTGCGTATTCATTCAGCCCATGTAAACGGAGGTCGCATCGCATTTTGGAACGGGGGGGATTATCGGAGGGCGCTCGCTGCGGGAGCGAGTGAACAGCTGAGAACATGGCGGCGGCCAATCTCGTCAACGGCGCGGAGAGCGGTCCCGTATGGTCGCCCGCAACCTTTTTCCGAGAACAAACGCGAGCTTTTATTGCCATCATAAGTAAGCGGAATATAGCGGAGCTGCTCGGTGAGGGCGGCCCCCGTCCAAGCCTCGCGAAGTACGACATGCGCGTCCGAAGGGGCCCCTAAGACTTCGGCGCAAGCACGAACGACACCGAGAGCTCCGAGCACTGTAGAGCACTGTAGGGTAGCGCGGAACGAGCAGCTCCTACCTTGGTTCCGTTCCTGGCTGCGCAGGAGCCTTTCGGACTCGGGGTTTGGTTGGGTGGTCGCGATCGGCGAGGTCTGGCGCGGCGAGGCGCGGAGGCTTCGATCCTCAAAGCGTGCGCACACACGTCCCCTTCTGGTCCTGAATGACCCGGCTGGTTCCGGGAGTGCATAACTTCGAGTTTTGACACGGCGAGGCGCCACCTTCGTGTAGGGCTTGGTGCGCATTCATGTAAACGTTGCCGCGTCGGCTTCGTTCGGAGAACGAGTGGAGTCGATGCGCTGAAGTCGCTTTCATGTAAACGAGGCTTTAGGCTAGCTCCGTAATCAAAAAGTAACTAAACGCTTGTGCTTGATTGGGAGACACTGCAATCGGTGCAGAACGTAGTTTTGTTCCTGCTCTGGACAGTGACAATAAATTTGAGGGATGTATTTTCGCCCACAAAATTGTATTTAATTACAATTGTATTTGAAATACCCACGTTTTAGTATTTGGATACAGACGTCAAATACATTACCCAATTTGTAATTAAATACAAATGCAAAATACACAAAGTATTTGAAATACGTATTTTAAATACTGCCCAACCCTGGTCGTGTCACATATTTAGAGCACACGACCACCGCTAGGGGCTGTTTCGAGGCCTGTGGTTGGCTTTGAGATTCTCGCCTATTCAAACCAATGTATGGCCAAACTCTCTCAATAAACGGCTCTTGTGCAGACCGGCGACACCGCACGGCGCCAGCTGTGCGCCGTGCGACATCACTGCTCCTCGCACATGCGCAGACCGGCGAGGCGCGCGCGGCGGCGGCGTCTCCTGCGCGCCAGCTGTGCGCCGTGTGACGTCACTGCTCCTCGCGCTTGCGCAGCACGGAGCACGGCTCATTTTGCGAGCCACGCGAAACTGCTCAACATCGGCCAGTGTAGCTCACGCTACAAAAAAGAAACGTAGAGAGGGTTTTTGTCACAATGAATCTGCAATCTGCCCCAAAAAACATTGCCTGCCTAGAGTGAGTTCGACACCAGTTCGTTATGGCGTGAATATCAGAGTAGGAGAGACGGCTGATAGTTGGTCTGTTCCTAAATAGGCGCGCACGAAACCGTTTTCAGCGAACAATGGCAGACGACGCTGTGGCGTCGTTTGCACTCCGCCTAGCAGACAACAAAGCGAGGGTGTGCTCGCAGGTGAAAAGAGCAATTCCGCCACACCGCGCATGCGCGGAGATTTGGACGGCACCTGCTATGCGGCGCTGGGGGTGCACAACGGCCGCCGCCGGTGTGCTCATTCACACAGCCGGCGTTTCTCCCATCCCGTCACCTTCGCGTGGGGCGTTCCCGTCAGGGGAGAGGAGTTTCGGCCCGGTTTTCGCCGGAAAGCTTGCCGCGTCGGGTGCCGGGTGACGTTGGGAGCTGCTGTACGGCACCGGCGTCCCGGCATCCCGGTGGATGACGGAGTACCGCCCCCATCGAAAACCGACCAATCACAAAATAGAAAAGTTTGTCTAAGTTTGAAAGAGTTTTCACCGTTCGGTGGCCAACAGTGGGCCAACGCTTGTTGTGTGGGTTTTCTTGTTCTTTTTCGGCGGGAATTGCTAAAAGAAGACGCAAATACTTAATTTTCAAAAAAAAAAAAGAAAAAAAGAAACCTTTGCACTAATGTTTAGGCACATATATCTCTTTATTTTGTAATTTAAGTTGAATAAATAAGCAATCCGATCCAATCCAATCCTGCCGTCGCGGCCTCCGTCGCTTTGCTTGCACGGCCTGATCGGACACCCTGCCGTCGCGTCCCCGCCCCGGCATGCTCCCAAGACGGTGCCGGGATGGGAGACGTGCCGGCTGTGTGAATGAGGCCTTTCAGCTAACAGTGTCCACTATAATGCCTTACGCCAACATGTTGAAATCGGCATCGTCATTCCGGATCCTACTGCCATAGCCCAAAGGTGCAACGAATCCTTTAGTTCGGTTTGCATTGATTCAAATATTTCTTATGTCGATAATATGCAGACTGGAAACGAACTTACGACCATGAACTTAAGAATTATGACTTCATTACTGAAACCGGTGTCGCGTCACATTTGCTGAACATTAACACAAAGAATTTACTGGTGCCAACAGTATCCCCTCTAAAATTCCCAAGTGATATACTGAATGGATGGTGAAGTACCTAGCAATTATATACCAATTATCACTTAAGCAATACAATATATCCACAGACTGGTTGTGCGCCAAAGTTAGCCTACTTTACAAATGTGGTGACAAATATAAGATTACATATGATCGACCCTTTCTTTCAAGATACACGTGCAATACACGTTTTGAACATAATGTCACGAATGACAATTAATGAGGCGACAAAAACGGAAGCAAACTAAACGTTTAATTGGGCGAACTTGTTGCCAAATCAAAATAGAAAAAAGGCCAGCGTCGCAGGCGTCGATGGCTGCGAATCAGGAGGATCGAACGCTGGGGCGAGACTGACCCCGGCTTGCCACGCGGAGCACCTTTTGTAGCCGCATGTTTTTTGGAAGATTCGGCGTATAGAACGTTCGGCGCGTAGAACATTCGTAGCTCGATCAGACGAGAAAGTTCTCGAATTTGCGGAAAAGTCAAGTAGAAAGAATAAATAAAAGAACATTCCGCTTTCTGGAATTGAACCCAGATGTTTTGCGCGATAGCCAAGCGCGGTAACCATTCGGCCACCTACGCGCTCGCTCAGCGACTCGCGTGGCATTACCCCCGCCCCCCCCCCTCCCCCCCCCCCCCCCCTTTTAAAAGCGCATCGTCTCGATGCAATATACCGGACAACAAAACAGCAAAACAAACAAAAATGACGACAAACTACGGAGACTTGTAAAACACAACCCTATCAATCGTAGTACAAAACGTAGTTTTCAGTCCTATCGATCGTAGTACTGCTGGAGGCGCACGACGTGCACGACTTGCGGTCTTGGAGAGCGGCGTGATGAAGCCCACGTTCCGTCGGGCATGACCTCGTAGTTCAGATCCCCTAGTCGAGGAAGCACTGTAAGGGGTCCGAAGTTGCGTTTCAGGAGTTCCTCACTTAGACCGTTTCGTTGCATCGGGGTCCAGAGCCACACAATGTCTCCAGGTTTGAAGCGAACGTCAATCCGGCGAAGTTCGTACCGGGTAGCGTCGACACGTTGTTGATCTTGAATTCGGAGTCGCGCGAGATGACGAACCTCTTTGACTCGCTGGTTGGTGCGGCAGCATCGCGTCGAGCATGGTCGTTACTTTTCTGCCATGCATCAGCTGAAACGGGGTTACTCCTGTGGTCCCTTGCACCGCCGTGTGGTAAGCAAACGTGACGTAGGATGACACCTCGTCCCAAGTCTTGTGCTCTACTTCGACATAAATGGAGATCATGTCGGCGATAGTTTTGCTTAGCCGTTCTGTTAGTCCATTTGCCTGCGAATGGTGCGCGGTGGTTCGACGGTGGCTGGTGCTACTGAGACGAAGGATCTCTTGCGTCAGCTGGGCAATGAACGATGATCTACGGTTGTAATGAGGACTTTGGGGGCACTGTGCCGGAGGACAATGGGCTCGATGAAAAACTTGGCGACTTACAGAGCCGTACCTGATGGAAGAGCTTTCGTCTCGGCGTACCGTGTGAGATAATAGGTCGCGGTGATTATCCATCTGTTTCCTTGCGTCGATGGTGGGAAAGGACCAACTAAATCCAATCCGATCTGTCGGAACGGTGCGGTCGGTGGAGCAATCGGCTGCAGTTGGGCTGCCGCCTTCGTCGGGGGTTTCCTACATCGCTGGTACTCGTGGCACGATCGTGTATAGAGGTGAACTGTCTTCGGGAGCATGGACCAGTAATACGATTCACGAATTCGGGCCAGCGTACGGCTCTAACCAAAATGTCCGGACACCAGGTTGTCGTGGCAGCCTTGGGAGATCTTTTCTTTAAGGTCGGTAGGGATTACCAGCAGTCTTGGCGAGCTGGTGTCTCCGAAGTTCTTCTTGTAAAGTACACCTTGGCGGAGGACGAAGGTCGGCAGGGCTCTCAAGAAAACTCAGGGAATAGTACCTCTTCGCCCTTCGAGGCGCTCGATTAGCGCGCGCAACTCAGGGTTGTCTCTTTGACGTCGTGCCATGTCGTCGGTGTTCACTGCGGCTAGGAAGCACTCGTGGTCATCGTCTTCGCTGCTACCGCGAGATGTCTTGACAGGGGCTCTAGACAGGCAGTTGGCGTCGCTGTGCTTGCGGCCTGACTTGTAGACCACAGTCATATTGAACTCCTGCAGTCGGAGACTCCATTGAGCGAGGCGTCCTGAAGAGTTTTTTTAGGTTCGTAAGCCAGCAGAGCGAGTGGTGGTCCATGACAACGCGTAACGGGCTCCCGTACAACTACGGGCGAAACTTCGTGATTGCCCAGACGGCCGCAACACAGTCCTTTTCAGTCGTGGAGTAATTTATCTCCGCTTTGAGCAGCGTACTACTTGCGTAGGCGATGACTCGCTCTGCGCCTTCTTGCACTGGAACCAGTAACACGCCAAGTCCTGCGTTACTTGCGCCCGTATGAAAAGGTTTCTATATCTTGATCGAAGAGTCCAAGAACCGGAGGAGCCTGGAGCTGTCACTTCAGCTCGTCGAAAGCCTCCTGTTGCTCCTCGGCCAATTCGAACTTCTGGGAGTCCTTTGTTAGGTTTGTGAGCGGTGCGGAAATCCTTGCGAAATCGCGAACGAAGCGCCGATACTACGCACATTGTCCAAGAAATCTTCGCACGGCCATCTTGTCTGTCGGCGCAGGAAATGCCGCGACGGCGCGAGTCTTTTCTGGGTCTGGGGGGACGTCATCATTGCTAACCACGTGGCCCAGGAACTTCAGTTCGTCATAGGCGAGCCGACACTTCGATGGCTCGAGAGTGAAGCCGGCGGTTTTCGTGGCTTGCAGAACAGCTCGGAGTCGTCGTAAGTACACGTCGAAGTCCTTTGAAAACAGTACAACGTCGTCAAGGTAGACGAGACAGCTCTGCCATTTCAATCCAGACAGTACGCGGTCCATGA